CTTCCGAGGGAGTTTGGATTCTGGAAAAATCAGAGAGGCACGAGGAGTGCAGCAGCCGCTTCCAAGTTAAAAATCATGGTTCTGACTAATGTATCTTGTCTGCGAGCTGCGTGTGTCATCGAAGCTTTCCCGAGGTGACACACGGGAGGAGGTTTCGTGCAGCGCTGCCCTTCGCTCGGCTTCCTCGCGGTGCTGGCAGTTGATGCGCGTGAGTCCTCGCGTCGGCCAGGACTTCCCAGGCCTCCTGAGCAGACTGAGACAGCAGCCTGGGATTAATGTGCTACTAGGCTGACACGCAGCTGCTCTGGGTTGTGTTCCTGATTCTGCCACTGATCTGCTGTGACCTCCCGTGAGTCACTTCCTCTTGTGCTGCTTGTCTCACTGCTGCTCCTGTTTTTTTCCAGGAGCTGCCAGAGCAGCGTTTGCCTCTCTGGAGCATCTGAACGTGATGCCACCAAAAAAGGAGGACCCTTGCAAAGATGAATAAGGGCTGCTTTCCATCAAAACGGGTGCTTAAATACTGTGGCATCCAAAGATGCTGGATGAGAGGAACCAGTGAGCTGGAGAGGTGCTTTGTGGCAAAAGCAGCAGACAGGGCTCTTTACACCTTACAAGGACAGAGGTATTGGAAGAGCACACACATGCACAGATCATTGGATTCAGTAAGTCTGCTTGGGTGCTCTAAGTCACACATTGTGCAAATCTTGGTCTTTGCTAGGAAAATTGCAAAGCTCAGTGTGTTGAGCAGAAGATTAAAAAAGTTTGAAGGTTCCATCCAACCAAATATTGTAGGTCCTTAAACAGTTTTATTATTACTGTATATGCACACACCGTGTGTATGAATTTATACTTAATTTTGGCACATAGGGGAGTACAAGGGGAAACAAGGGGATAAAAAGACAAAAAGAAAGTGGGAGGCAGAAAATCACCTGACCTGACCAGACCCTCAACTCGTCATTCTGAGGATGCCCTTCAGAAAAGGGATATTGTTGTTTTAACACTCACAGGGAGCACAGAAGAGAACATTGTAACATCGGGCCTGTAGGAGAAGCCACTGCTCTTGCATGCCTAGAATAATGACATACTTCACTTGACAACCCTGTCATTGCAATTGGGTTTCAGTTTTGCTTTTTTAGTTCCCAGCTCTTGCTGCAAGTTAGATAATTTCAGGCTTGCTTATGGGATTCATTGCAGCTGAAAGGTTTATTTTAATGAGAAAAGCTTTGCAACCAAATGAAGCCTCCTGAGAAACATGGACCCTCTGGTAATTCACATCAATCTGTGTTGCACTGTTGTCTGCCATCAGCAAAAATAACAGTAGTGGGTTCCTGCTTCCCCCACCAGGCCTTTCTCAGAAAAGGGAGGTGAATATAGATATGTATTCATCCCGCTTGTGTTGATATTTAGTGTTCATATTTAGGA